GACTAAGATGAGGTGCGAATGGATCAGCCCTCCAGTCCTAAGAGAACCCGTTGGCAGTTACTCTGCCCATAATGGAATAATTTTTTTTCGAGATTGTATAGCTTCGGCAATAAGGATTTTAGATTAGCGCCCCCACCAGATATCTTGCCAAAATAAGATATCTTGCCAGAATAAAGTGATATGACTCGATCCAACAATTTTGTTTGAAATATTAGTGTAACTGATCCCAACCTTTTGTAATTCCTTTGTTGTCCCAACAATATTGTTCGAAACTCCATTGATTGATTTCCTTAACATATGATCAGCATCTCTTATGGTGAGGTTATGTCTACCTCTGATGACCTAGCACCAGAGAGATGAAGTATCCACTCGTAGTCTCCACCACCATTTGACCATAAGAGCAATATTCAGTGAACGTAATGATCCCACACCGAGTCCACCTTTATCTTTTAAAGCAATGACTTTGTCCTATGAAACCCAATGTATTTTGGACTTGGAATCGCAGCTGCCCCAAAGGAATCGACGTTGTATTTTTTCCAAAGCATTCAACACCCCTACCGGATCTTTAAAGAGGGAGATAGTAGGTGGAAGATTGCCAAGGATCGCCTTTACCCCCCCCCCCCCCCCCCCAACGAGAGAGATTTGACCCAAGAGTGGAATGCGTGAAATTAGGATAAAGGTAATTTCCAAATACTTGAAATGAAATATTAATAAAAATTAAAGATAAAGGTAATATTTCATTTCTCCCTAAATAAATAACTTCTATCGATTACATAAATTTCATTAAAACATTTAATTTAATAATAAATTAGTTGTAAAACTCATGTAGTACATAGATTAATTTAAAAAAAAATGTTAAATATAAAGGTCAAAATATTTGAAAACTTTGAATTTATAATAAAATAAAAAAAATAATGAATTATTATAATAAAAATATTTTTTATCTTTTAAATTTAAACAAATAAATTAAATAAATAAATAAAAGAAATTAAGTGAGTTTTAATTTTGAGAATTTTGAAATTAAAAAGTAATTCATTAATAAAATTGATATCCATTTATTATTATATTTATTGTAGTAATAAAATAGAAAACTCATAACATATAAAAAAAATTAATTTAACAAATTAAGTAAGAGTAAAAAAAAAAAAAAAAAAAAAAAAAAAAAAAAAAAGCCTTCATTAATTATCAGAGATAATCAAATATGAGTTTCAAGAATCGAAATCGAAACACGTGGTGGTGAAGGTAAGTCACAAATCACAAAGCAAGAAAACGACGTGGTATTCTACAGGTTCCTTCCTATAAGTAACCTCTATTTCTCTCTCTTTCAAAAACCCTCGACGAATCTTCTACTTCTCTCTCAAATGGACTGTTTGGGGCTACTCCTCCTCTCTCTTGTTCTCGCCTCTTTTTCTCCGGCGACTAGTTTCAGCCTTAAGGACCCCAAGTTTCCGTCGACTCAAGCTAGGAAGCTGATCAGAGAACTCAATTTGTTCCCCAAACACTCGATCAACATCGTCGATCGCGATGTCACCAACCGTTCGTCTAATCTCGGTTCGAAGATAGTCGAGAAGCCTTTTAAATTCCCCAATCTCGTTGATGCAGACAGCGTTACTCTTGAAGATTTAGGTCATCATGCTGGTTATTACCAGATTGAACACTCTCATGATGCTCAGTATATTTCTAAAACCCTATGTACTCTAATTATTGCCATATATTTTGTGATTCGTGATTATCCTGAAATGTTTCCTTTGAACAGTTTTCTGATATCATGATTATTGATGAACTTTTCTTTCCTTATTCGTAAATCAGTAAGCGTACTTTATATCATTAACCGTGTTAAGTTAGACTGATATTTTTGTAAAGGATTTTGAAAAGCTTTTGAATATGAAGAGATTGGATAAGGAATTGCAGTTTGTTCCTTCGCTGTGAACCTAACATATAAATGCTACTGTATCACCGCTTCATATATCAAATCGACTAAATCGTAGATTGTTATGGATCTACTATTACTGTTTTTCAACCATGATGGATCACGTGGTCAAGTGCAGTTAATTCTATTCGTAGCTAACTATCCATTTTTGTCATAGATGCACTTTATTTGATGACTTTCTATTTTCAGAAACAGTTGATTGATTCATTTCCCTCATTTTCATTAGCATCTAAGAATAATGTTTGGATTATTTGTAGGATGTTTTACTTTTACTTCGAATCACGCAACAGTGAAAAGGACCCTGTTGTTATCTGGTTGACTGGGGGACCAGGCTGTAGCAGTGAGCTTGCTCTTTTCTATGAAAATGGCCCTTTCAAAATCGGAGATAACTTGACTCTTGTATGGAATGAGTATGGGTGGGACCAGGTGATAGTTTATTAGTTGCATATTATTTACCATTTGATAATTTTTTAGTGCTCCTTTTTTCCTATTTCTTGTATGTTGTACACAACAATCAATAATATTTATGTGTAAATTCAGGCATCAAATCTAATATATGTTGACCAACCTACTGGAACGGGCTTTAGTTATAGCTCTGATAAAAGAGACATTCGCCATGATGAACAAGGAGTCAGTGATGACCTATACGACTTCTTACAGGTCTGTTTCTTTGTTAAATGACCTGTTTGCCCTCCACAGATGATTTTTATATCGATATAATTCCTTTTCAGGCTTTTTTCAAAGAGCATCCTGAACTTGTGGACAATGACTTCTATATTACTGGAGAATCATACGCTGGGCATTACATTCCTGCTGTTGCTTCACGAGTCCACAAAGGAAACAAAAACAAGGAAGGGATACACATAAACCTGAAGGTATCTTTTTTTTTTTTTTTTTAAATAAATATTTGTTTTATCAGTTGAGTTTGTGTATTGAGTTTATGAGTTTATAAAGGGATTTGCCATTGGAAATGGGCTCACTGATCCAGCAATTCAGTACAAGGCTTATACTGATTATGCATTGGACATGGGGATAATTACAGAGTCTCAATCTAAACGCATCAACTTGATAGTTCCTGTGTGTGAAGCTGCAATAAAGCTTTGTGGTAATGTTGCATCTCTCTCTCTCTCTCTCTCTCTCTCTCTCTCTCTCTCTCTCTCTCACACACACACACACACACACACACACACATAGTAATTGGGAACTTTCTCCTATTAATAAATTTTTTATTCTTGTGCTATCTTTCTAGGCACTGATGGGACAGTTTCTTGTATGGCTGCATACTTGGTTTGCAACACCATTTTTAGTTCAATCACTAATATAGCAGGCAAAATCAATGTAAGGAAATCTGATTCTTTGTCTTATTAATTATTACATTGAATGTCACTAATATGACACTATCTAACCTAACATTACATGACACTCATTTATAATTTGGTTTTTTCAGTACTATGACATAAGAAAGGAGTGTATAGGAAGCCTGTGCTATGACTTCTCAGACATGGAGACACTTTTAAACACGAAACCTGTTAGGAAAGCACTTGGAGTTGGAGACATAGAGTTTGTTTCGTGTAGCACAAGTGTCTATCAAGCCTTACTTATGGACTGGATGAAAGATCTCGAGACTGGCATTCCTGCTCTCCTTGAAGATGGGATTAAATTGCTCGTATACGCTGGGGAATACGACCTTATTTGTAACTGGCTTGGTTAGTTTTCACTCAACACTTTTTCTCAAATTAAATTTTAAGCAGGACATGACATGACAGAACAGGTTGTACCGCATTAGACTTAAGACTCAGACATGACATAACAGAACAGGTTGTAGCGCATTAGACTAGATGTGATAGAAAGCTTGTATTTACTTTTGTTTGTTTTAAAAAAAAAAAAAAGGTAATTCGAGATGGGTTCATGCTATGGAATGGAGTGGGACGAAAGAGTTTGGTGCGTCTTCTGAACTTCCTTTTGAAGTCTCGGGATCTGAAGCGGGCTTACTCAAAAGCTACGGTCCACTCAGTTTCATCAAGGTATGGTCACTACTCACTACACATAAAGATGGAACAGAGACAAATATTGATATACTGATACTGATAATGATACTGATAATGAAACAGGTTCATGATGCTGGGCATATGGTTCCTATGGATCAGCCGGAGGCAGCTCTGGAGATGCTAAAGAGGTGGATAGGGGACTCGCTTTCCAAAGCACCAATGGAGCCTAAATCTTTGGTTTCCTCTATATAATAATAATAATAATACAATCACTATCATTATCACTATGCATGGGTCTGTGTCTGTTGTTTGTAAATAATGTTGGTTGCCTTTGACTTGACTATGAACTTTATAGGCTTTTAACTAACCCAGTTGCACACATAAGAGTAGGACTCATCAAAGCATCTTTTAGCCGCTTTCTTCTTCTTTTGTGGATTGCAAATGCTCTTAAACAATCACAGTGGATGTGATGCTATATTTCCTTACCAGAGATTACAAAAGTTCATGTTTGATTTATCTTTTGTTTCTTTTACCAAAATCGGATGATTAGTATCTTCATCCAAATCCCAACAAAAGTTTTTATAAATGGAAATGTCATCAATTCCAGATCTCCGGTATACTTGCTACAGTTTTGGTCATTCAGTGATTGTTAAGCCTTTGAGAAAAAATAATTTTTAACATCAAGATGCTACTAAATTATGGAACCAATAGGAAAATACACAATTTCAACGGGGAAGGAAGAATCAGTAGTGAGATACACTGTCTAGTAAAAAATGATACAATGCAACCTTTTATTAGGAAATCAGGAATTTATAGGGGGTCAAGTTTTCTTATGCTTATAAATGCCGAAGATTTTAATAATCTAAAACAATTTCCCGTATTATTTACTCATTTAAGTTTAAGGTAACCGATTTTCATGGACATATACCCTAAATCTCCAAATAATATAATAGAAGAGTCATATAGATGAGCAAAAAGTATCTTCCACTAAAAAAATCCGTCACAAAGACAACAAATGCAATGTTATTTTGATGTAAACGAAGATCTTCTTATTAAGGGAAAACATGAAGAATTATAAATATGTCGACAAGTTAAAAGCCTAACCATTATTTAAAACCTCAAGCTGTACCCATACCATCAAAAGCACAACCACTCAAACATAGAGTACAACTTGATTCTCCCTAAAGTACAAGAAAACCAACTATTTACTCAAAATAAATATTGAAAGAAGTCGCTCACCAGTCACAAGTGACGACTATTATGTATGCCATCCGTCATGGAAATGAGCGTTCTTCGATGACCTAAAAGTCTCTAGAAACTTCATCGCCGTATCCATCTCTTCATTTTGCCTTGATTTGTCCCAATTGTGTTCAGCAGCCAATAGCTCAATGACACGTGGCAATGCATAGTTTGCTGCATCTGTGTCCAGGAAAGCAAGTCTAGATCTTCTAGCAATAAAATCTACCGCAGATTCACAGTATTCATTCCGAGCACAGTATGCCACCTCAGCTTCAAGATACGGGTACCCGTGGGCCAGCCTCTTCCCTAGATTTTCATTCTACACAAATCCCCATTGTCAGAATAATTGTAATAAGAAAATATGAAAGTAGAATTTAGTCATAAATTTAAAAACTGGAATAGATAAAAAGGGAAAACCTGAGCAATGGAAGCTACTCTTTGGGACATGGTACCATAAGAGTGAGACAAATGTTTTGCTGCAGCAGTGTCCATCACTCCACGAACTAATGTCCCATTTTGTGTATTCTTCATGCGTACATATTCTTGAGCAATCACAGTGAAAAATGCTGGGTCCCACCCATCTCCACCCACAAGACATAAATTGGATGTCAAACATTTATTCAATGGATTTAATTTTCCCGACTTAATAGCTGCATCCACTGCATCTTCAGCCATACTGAACAATTAGGTTAAATGTTAAGTTAGCACACCATCACTATTACTTAGGTGTTGTTTCTTTTTTTTTTTCTTTTTTTTTTTTTTACTTTTCATTAAAAGAACACCTTCTATATGTAGTCCACTTTCCACCAGTAATAGTGACCAAACCAGGGAAATCTTCACATACAATGTGATCCCTTGAAATGCTTTCTGTGTTCTTTGCATTTGGATCCATTGCTAGTGGACGAATCCCACTCCAAGCAGACAAAACATCCATACGCCGGACCTATTCAATTATTCCCATAAAGAATAACATCTAAATTGGTATAAAATATGACAAGGTTTTTCAAAGTACATTGTCCTAAATGAAAGTAGAATGCTACAATTGGATAGATTTTTCAAAGTACAATGTCTTAATATAAATAAACTAATGATGTGATACAGATAAATGAAAGTGGGATGCTATTATAAACAAATAAGCGAAAGTGAAAGTGAAATTGAGAAACAAACCTTAACATTAAGATAATCACGGATGGCATCTAGAATGAACTCGATTTCATCCTCACGAGGTTCTGGTAACATAGTAATTTTGGTGTTGGAGTCAGTTGTCCCGGCAACTGTCCTCCCCAACCATGGGAGCATGAATACAACGCGCCCGTCTTTTGTTTTAGGGACTATCAATCCCATTCCTTGTGGAGAATAATAGTCTGGAAGCACAATGTGGACCCCACTGCTAGGGCAAATCATGGATTTTGCATCTTTATCGGCCAGTTTTCTTACTGAGTCACAAAATGGTCCGCCCGCATTCACGATAACTTTTGCGTAGGTATCAAACTCTTTTCCTATATATTTTCCCAACACAAAAAAATATCTTCAAGAAAAGAATTATAATATACAAATATAAGGTGTTTTTTTTTTTTTTTTTTTTTTAATTAAGTCCTGTATGGATAAATTGTTGTTTACATAAGGTTTGTTTCTTTTCCTGGATGAATAACCAACCGAATGAGACTAAATGACCATTTTACTGTTACACATTCTAAAAAACAGAGTTCACAATATTCATCAATTTTAATGTGAAAAGGGCAAATAGGTACAAAGTTCATGTCTAAATAAATTAAGTGTAGTTTCTTTTGGCTTATAACCGATTAAGTCATTATGTCTAAATTAACTCAAAAGAAAACAGCCACGTATAGCTGTTTAGATTAAGTGTTAAACCCATTAAGCTCATTAAGTAAAAAAGAAACAATCCTATAATCAAAAAAGGACTTAATCTGATAAGCTACATATGGGTGTTTCTTTATGAATTAATACACAAAGAACGACTTAATAGAAAGTTAAGAAATGAGGCTTTTCCCATTAAGTCCTAAGTTTTTACATATTTTCCCTCATTTATATTTTTCCTTCCATTTCCTCAAGTGTGCTGTTATTTTCTCAAACATGTTTTAATAGTCATTTATCCAGACACAACACTTAAAGAATCCACAATAGGAAATCTTTTTCATGAAAAAACTCTATATTTCTCCACAATAGGTGAGCTTTTTCAACATGCTTTCATCACAAGAGCTTGTTAATTAACAAGCTCAACACAAGAGTTGAGCTTTTTTAATTAACAAGCTCAATGAAAAAGCTAATCCAATAGCTTTTTTCATTTTTCAAGAGCTTTTTAGCTTGAAAAAGCTCCTATTACACAGATACTCATAATGAGAAAAATAAAACTAAAAATGGCATAAGTGTTGCTTGTAGTACCTGATAAGTTATCCCGAATTCGTGCTCCAATAACCCTCCCTTTACCATTTTCTCTCAACAATTCCACAACCTCAGCATGATTAAGAACAGCTGCACCAGCTAAAGCAGCAGTGCAAGCTAATCCAACATTAACCCGTGAATCATTCATTTGGCCATCATAATAAACCACTGTTCCTTTCAAACTTCTATCGTTACCCTTTCTTGCAAGTGTGGGGAAAAGTTCAGAAGACTCTTGTGCAGAATAATACCTTGAAAGATGCAGTAAGTGTCTTCCTGCAACTAGATCATACATTTTCAGACCCACCCAATAGTACAGTGTCTCAAACCAACCAAAACATGGTGTCATGCAAGGTAAAGCATGACACAGGTGTGGAGCATTATCAATAACCTGTTTACGCTCCAACAGGGCATGAAAAACTAACTTTAGTTGCCCATAATCTAAATTGAACACAGCTTTCTCCAAGTATCGAACTCCTGAAAGAGATGAAGGAGATATTTCAGTTGATATCTTTCACAAGCTACAAAATACTATAATTTGTATCAGAGAAATTCATTTCTAATGTACAAATTGTGTTTATTCTGTAATTAAAAAAGCTATTCTAACATATGTAACTATTTAGCATTAGACATGATGCAATTGAAAGTGATGAACAAATTCGAAGAGAGAAGATAATGATTCAATTAAAATTAGGAAAATCGTAATATCAATTTTGAATCTTCTAGAAATGTGTTTGATCGATCATAACAATCAAAATCAGATTCCGTATGCGATACGTACCTCCGTGAATAAGCTTCGTAGACCGCGACGACGTACCGGAAGAGAAGTCCTCGCGTTCCACAAGGCCAACGCGTAGGCCTCTGGTGGCGGCATCAAGAGCGACGCCGCAGCCGGTAGCACCGCCACCAATGACAAGAATGTCGAGCGGATTACCGGAAGTAGCGGCGGTTAGAGATGATTCTTGTGAGGCACGAGACGGTACAACCGCGGCAGGGTCGGTGATCCTCCTCCGTAAAGCCTCCAACGCTGTACCACCTCCACGGTCGCTTGCAGATACGGAGGTATCACGTAGTGTCATATAAGAACCGCCGACGGCGACGGCAAGTGCACCGGCGGTGATGCTTACGCGCCGAGCGAGAAAAAGCCTCGCCATACTTTTCTTGTCCAAACGCGATGAGAAAGAGATAGAAGAGAGAATGAGTGAAGAAAGTGGGAAATCAAAAAGGAAAACTGAAATCGAAAATTAACATGATGCCACCTCTCCAGGTGATTAAGCATGCAAAGGTGCGTTTCTTATTAATGAGCGTGTAAATAGTTGCTATTTTTTATTCTGTTTTTTCTTTTCTTTAAATTTTTTTGTCACAAAATTAAAATATATCCCGTCTTTATATATATATATATATATATATATATATATATATATATATATATATATATATATATATATATATTATTAAAAGAGAAATTTTGTAACATTACTTTCAACAATCAAAGTCATTGATTGTGTTTCATTCATATATTTTCCACCTTTAGATCGTTATGCCGACATCATCATTTGGTCAACCTTTTTTTTTGTCCACCAATTTAATGAAATCTATTAATGACAATTACTTTTAACATTAGGAAATCTATTAATGACAATTAAATATAACCAAAAATAAAATTATTTTTAAAATTAGGAAATCTATTAATGACAATTAAATCTCAGCAAAAATAAAATTACTTTTAAAATTAGGAAATCTATTAATGACAAAAAAATTTGTAATGACCGTGTACTATCAAAGTTTATCATCGGGAAGATTTGGGATTTTTAAGTATAGAAGTGTAACATCCCAAGTTCGGAACAAGAAGTGAAGGGTGCTAAGTGTAAATAAAGGAAGGGACCCGACGAGTAGGTACGCTTACTCGTCTAGTCGGAGTGGGTTTGGATCGCGAATTAAGTGACCAACTCGCCGAGTCGGAGGCTTGGACTCGACGAGTTGGTGCTGGAATGAGAAAACCCTAATCTTAGGGTTTGCACCCTATTTAAAGGACTTTATGTCCCTCTTCCAGCCTCCTAAACCCCCAGAGAGTTCCAGAAAACCCTAATTTTGTGTGAGGCTTCATTGTTGAGGAGATTGGGGCTTGGAAGAGGAAATTGGTGGAAGGAGCTTGATAAATTGGAAGCTAGCATCAAGGGGCTTGTAAAGATCTGGGATCTACATCAGTTTTGGGCACATCTCTGAGGTAAGGAGCCCTTATCTTAAGCTATTTCCTTTTTGGTTCATCCTTGGTGGTTGTTTTGGGAGTTCTTTAGCTTTTTTTTAGATCTATTTCGGATTTAGAGTTAGATCTGAGGTTGCTACTCCAGATCTAGACTCATGATGGCCTAGGATGTCATAAAGCTTCAGTCTTTGAGTTGTTGGTGAAGCCCCTTTGTCTAAAACCGAAGCCCTAGTGTGTTTTGGGCCTATATCTCCTTGGTTTCACGTAAAGTTTGCAACTTTATGTGAGGGTTAGGCTGTAGAAGAGTGGATCTATGGATTGGAGCCCCTGCATGGCTCGAAAAGCCTCTGTATGGATTGAGAACTAAAGAGACTCGGCGAGTCACATGGGTGTACTCGACGAGTTGTATGAACATGTGCATGGACTCGGCGAGTTGGAAGAACAACTTGGCGAGTCTGTTGAAGATTGCCTTGGACTCGGCGAGTCAGGTCGCAGAACCCCAAACCTCTTCTGGTTAAGACGCATATCAGTGAGTCGAGGGGTGACTCAGTGAGTTGGGCAGGATGAGACTCGGAGATCGTTGGACTCGACGAGTCTTGGGGTGACTCGGCGAGTTGAGTCGTGTTCTAAGAGTTTTCAGAGTATAAGGACTCGACGAGTCAACGGGTTGACTCGGCGAGTATGGTCAGTCAGGAAGTTTGACTTTGGCCTGGACTTTGACTTTGACCTTCAAGGGTATTTATGGAATTGGTTCTTTGGTAGTGTTCTGTGGTGAAGATCGTGTCGGTGGTCGGAGCAGCTTGGTCTTATCTTTCCAGTCGGCAATTGCAGGTGAGTTATCCTCACTATATCGACAGGGTCTACGGCACCAAGGCCGGCCCTTTATCGGATGGAAATCCGGGTATTGTTGTTATGTTATTGCTTTGCTAGATCTGCATCCTGGTATTTAGGATGATGTTATGTTAGTGACCTGGTTAAGGTCGGTACCCGGTATATAGGGTAATGCTATGCTAGTGACCGGTTAGGTCAGAATCCTGGTTAGGATGTTGATATGCTATGTGATCTGTTAGACTGATAGTCTGGTTAAGGATTTGTTATGTGATGAATTGTTTTATGTGCACATGGTTGTTTGACGGGGGTTGGGTTGAGGCGGGTCCTGCTTTGTGCTGTAGGCCAACATACCCAAGGCGGACCGGATATTCCGAAGGCCCAGCGAGCGGTCCGGATAGGCTGAAGGCCCCAAGAGGGCGGACCAGACGTGCCGAGGCTCGGAGAGTGGACCAGGCCGACTGAAGGCCCGGTGTGGGCTGACCAGTCATACTGTAGACTCAGAGAGTGGACCAGGTGGATTGAAGGCCCGATGTGGGCGGACCAATCACACTGTAGACTCGATGTACATGGCTGGACTCGGAGGGTGGACCAGGTGGACTGAAGGCCCGGTGCGGGCGGACCAGTCACACAGTAGACCCGATGTGCATGGTTGCTCTATTTATGAGATGTTATGAGTATGTTTATGTGTGGTTGGTATTTTGGGAGTAACTCACTAAGCTTTCGGGCTTACAGTTTCAGTGTATTGTTTCAGGTACTTCAGGAGATCGTGGCAAGGCGAAGGCGTGATCGTACCGCTCCTCATGTTTTATGATTTATGTGATATGGTTCTGGGGATACTCTGATGTTTAAACTATTTTGAAAACAAGATGTGTGAACTTAATGGTTTTTGAATGAAATAAAAATGTTTTAATTTGGCTTAATTTTTATGGATGTTACAAGAAGGTTGATTATCAAAACAGAATATATCCACTTCCAAGAATTTTATAAAATTTATATATTTTTCAGTATAACCAACGAAAGAATGGTGTTTTGCCATCAAGTTCCATTTGGCCTTATTTCTTACTTTCTTAGATAATATACTATCGAGGTAATGGGATACAATCCCCTTCACTGGAATAAAAAACCAACCGTTGGACATTATACTTGGGAATCTTTGTAGTTAGGTCATTCTTAAGATTCTTACATTTGAAGACCAAACGTGTTCTAACCTTATTCCATAATATGCATGCTTTCTAAAAGTGCAATTCTTATCTGATTTATATGGTTGTATAACTTTGTATTTTTTTAACAGAAGCAAGAATCGCACATGATGAGATCTGAAGTATGTGTAAAAGGGATATGAAAGTGGATGTTACCCAAAAATGGATGTTGGAAAATCAATTCCATATCCTTCACTTGCATTAACCAATACATTTGCTTTCCAAGATCCAATATAGTTAAGTCGGATGCATATGTTGTCAAAAAGGATCTCAGGTTTGGCTTATTTATTTATTTTTAATTTCCTTATAGGTAAATTGACATTTGCATTATTAAAATGATGTCTGTGTGAAGTAAGTATGAACAAAGAGTGTTTCTTTTTTTGCAGCCATCTAAAGTTTGGTAAATGACCCTTTTACACTTCTTTTTAGGGCGTTTTATTTTCATTTTTTTGTAAAATCTTTTAACTTTTGCATTATAGGAGTATTGATTATGGACTGCACATCTATACGAATTATTCTAACTTCTTGACAGCTCAATATGAAGTCACCTCATAGGAATTCGACATTCAAAAAGCTTTTTAACTTGCCACCAAAGGAATTTCTCATCGGTGATTTTGTCATGCTCTCCATGAGAAAATTAGCCCTTCAAGTATACTCGGACGGTTGGATTTGATTACAGACCGCACATCTACACGAACTGGTTACTTATTATAGTTTCGAATTTCATTTTTGAAGAGTAGACTCTTCCTATATTCAAGAACTGTTGAGTTTTATGCCAACTTATTGGTACACAAAACAAGGTTTTCATTGCAACTGTTTTTTTATTCTTTTATTTGTTCTTTTAGTGTGTGATACAAAATTAGATGAGTTAGGCCAATTTTATGAGCTATCATTTTAGGGTTTTATACCAATTGTAGCCTTGTACTTCGAATTTTTTTCATACAACGAAATTATGTTGTTTTTCCTTTTGTTTAATCCCAAAAAGAACTTAAATCAAAATGAACAATAACAGATAATTCAACTACAAAGACAACTTATAACATTTCAGATTCTAGAGGACATTTGACAGTTTTCATATAGGTCGCACTTGTGTTCTCCAGGTTAAAGTTTTTTGCCAACTCAAGAAAAAGAGTATTTTTCCCCTTGATTAAAATTGACTTATATTTGGAGATATGTATAAATTGATACTAATACCCTTAATAAATGTTATGATAAACACACGACAGACAAACACAAGGGTGTTGTCGTAACTAGAGTTAGAAATAGATTTACTTACAGGATTCTTGAAAAAGCATTTATGTTATTTGCTAATGTCAATGATCGTCAACACCAGTCTTTGGTAACTTCATCACCTTAGAAAGTTGAACAATAAAATCAGAGGGGAGATGAGTGTAAACATCATATATGTCTGGAACTAAGAAAATCAATGGCTGCAATAAAAAATGCAAAAGAGCTTGAAGGAATAATTTTTTTTGAAAGGTTAATTTTTTTTTAAAATAACCTGTTGCAATGAGTCAAATGTAATTCCCACAAGTGTTTGAGGACCCTCCTACACCAATTATATTATTATTATTACAAATAAATAAAACATTAACTCGAAGAAAATATAAAAAGTTGTAATTTTTTTGAAAAAAAAAATGAACTTACTGGAAGATCATTAACAAATCGACTAATAGCACTAAAAGCTCCAAATGTAGCACCAATTTGTATTGCATTAATTGATACATCAACAAGAAAGAAAAAAGACACCTGACATTGGTTCCCGAACCTAAGAAGAGTATAAATTAAAAAGATATAGTATTGAAGGTACTCATATGTGACAAGGTCGTCCAACTAATAAAACAAAAAACGTTGTTTACAAAGAGGTCATTCATCGGTTATAGATATTCAAGCATTTCATTGTTTTTTTCAATGTTACCAATAAAACTGATTCTATTTATGTTACTTTCTTTTTAATTATTGTGCCAATTTTTTATACTTTTATATGTATTTTTTA